TACTTTTGCTGGTTGGGATCTGATTGCAAGTGAATGAGCCTGGTATACAGTTTTTTCGCATCATTCTAAAGAATAAGGAAAACATATTACTGTTAGAAATGTAAGTATAGCATAGAAAAACATGTTGAAGCATGAACTGCAATTTAATATAAGATCCAACCATGATCTTTCTCAGTATCTTAACTCTATGGATCCTTGAGAGAAACAGAAAACTTAGAAACATCAAAGCAGAAGATAGAAATCATACAAAATGCTTACAATGAGACTTTGAAGCTTGTTTGTTCGACGAACAACAATATGCGACAGATATGTTGAAGGGTGATACTCCCTAAAGAAGCTGTCAACTTTTTCACTGACACCACTCCCAGCAGAAACAGGAATGCTACGAACTAAGATGGTGAACTGATGTGGCTGAGGTTTGGATGAAAGAAAATAGTCGATCCTTCTCTGAGAAATATATTTATACTCCTGCAGAATGAAGTATTATTCAGTATCCAAAGATCACCATAAACTGGTAATTGTGACGTCGTCATCAGAATCTCCCAAGCATAGGTAGCAAAGTTTTTAACACACCAAGCTTTTACTTACATAATAAAGTAGACAGCAGACAAAGATGGTGACAAGGTACACAGCAACAAAGTGAATCCATAACCTGTAAAACAGGTCAGCATAAATAAGTTAACTTTTGCACCTAACATGGCTATAATATAGAAGGAAAACTAACTGATGAGGGATGCAAGAAAGAAAAACCTGTCTTTATTAGCACAAGTCAAAGGTTAGGTAAATCTTTCTTATTAAAATTCAGACTTTAGGAACTTAATTATTGAATTATTAGAATCTAGGGATATTATAATTAGAAATTAAATTAACAACATGAGCTCCAAATTCCTAACTCTATCAACAGCTTGAAATAACCTCACAGTAATTGGAGCAAAAACTCACTTGCTTGAGCCATTGTTCACATTTGAAATGGTAAACACGTCCAGAGAGTTGTTCGACAGATCGGTAAAGTCAACGTACTCAAGCTGATTTCCGGAGCAGTTGATCGGAAGCAGAACGAAGACCCCAATCACTCCAGCAAACAAAAACACTCTCAGGCTGAAATTGATAAGCCGCATAAAAACGACGGCGTCCAATCCTGAGGACGACAACAAATCGTCCTCGGTGAGCTGCCAGGCCGTCTTGACCCAATCGGGTGACGGAATCAGCCGTTCGAGGTTGAAAAGACTCGACGTGTTGGATTCTCCTTCGGCGAGCAATCTCGGCATGTAAACCTCATAGTTGCTGGGCTGTTTTCGCAGGATAGAGTAGAGCGTGAAGAACAGGACACAGAGGCCGGAGTTTATTCCGAGCGACGTCAACAGAGCCGAAACGAGCATTTCTTGAGCTGCTGATCGGTTTCAGTAAACCCTAGAAAGTTCTGAGCTTTGGATCACTGTTCGGATCCTACCACTGGCATTCAAATGATTGAGCTTTGTACTTTGGGGAGGGGGCGCTTTGCTCTGTTTAGCAGCTTAAACCGACAGGACTGGACTACCTGTCCGCTGCTTCTGAATTTTTTTAATGCCGGAAATGGCCCTGCGTGTTTCTTCCTTATTTCTCACGGAAGAAAGGAAGCTTCCGTTTCGCGATGTTTGGGTGGATTGGGGGATTTTTTTTTTCATGATAGGGGTAAAAACAAGGGTGTTTTGTATTTTTGAATCCGGGGGTGATTTTGGGGATTTCGGTGACCGGTAGCCATAAACGGGCCAACTACCAGTCAAAATTCCCGCCATCGTCCGAACTTCTGAGACTTCGGCTCCACGGTCAGTATATATAGCACGTGATCAATTTTCTAATTTCATGTTTTTTAAGTTTTGGAGTAGCAGGATTTTTTAGTTTCCTATATTTAAGTAGGATTTTTATTTTTTCAGACTTAAGTAAGATTTGATTTATGTTTCCTAATTTATTTGGATTCGGAATTCTTTCTTAGAATAAGTTTAAATTCCTTTTCACTTTAGAGTTAGAATATTATAAATACTCTTTATGTAATTCATTAAAGAAAGTAGAGTTATTGAGTAAAGTTTATTTTTCGAGACTTTCGAAGAGGGAGTACTTTCTTTAATATCATACACCATGGCATATGACAATCAGAATGAGGTGAAGGACGAGGCGGTATCAAATATTGCTCCCTTTGATCCTACTAAAAAGAAGGAAAAAGAATAAGGTTGTAATACAAGATACCGTCGATGATTCTGGGGCTCCATCCCATCCTTGGGAGGGGAACACATATGAGGAGCTTCTTGATAGGATGTTTAACATTCTTCGTGATCGCGAGAATAACTTGGAGCTGGCTGGAGACAGGCGTAGGATAGTTTTGAGGCCTCCACAAGTACTTGGTGAGGGCACAAACAAAACTGTTTTTGTGAATTTCTTAGATGAGTGCAAGATGATGCATAGGCAGCCGAATCATGTCATGACTTTCTTGCTGACTGAACTGGGGACAAGTGGATCACTTGACGGGCAACAAAGGTTGGTTGTCAAGGGAAGATTTGCACCCAATAATTTCGAAGGAATATGTCAATTGCAATGGGTGTAAAAGTCCGGACACTACGCTTTCAAAAAAGAATCGTCTTCTCCCTCTTAAATGCGAGAAGTGTGGTTCTAACCGATCAGTTGCTCAAATTAAAGCTGGTTTTCTGGCTCGTGTGGGATCAAGGAATGCAAGAACATGATCTTAATTACCATGTTGTGTCGACTCATGATTTTATTAAATATAGATTAATTTAAAGTAGATTATCGCTTGTATTAAGAAGAAAAGTTAATGAGTTTTTCAGTTTAGCTTCTACAACGGTAAAATTTTCTTCTGCTTATTAGTAATTACAGACCCTCTTATGCTTTGGATTTTGCTTGTTTAGTTTATTCGATGATGTTTCAAAGTTAAAAAAAAATATCTTATTGTGGGCATGTATCTTTTCATTGTTTATGAGTAGAAGATAAATTAAAGCCCATCTATTAAATAAAGCACGCCAAATAAAACTTTCTTACTACATTATTGGCATAATAATAATATTTATTTTTAAAATTAAAAAAAAAATCTTCTAAAAGAATAATAAATAAAGCACACAGAGTCTTCTAAAGAGAAGAAAACGAAGCCCAGTCCAGCCCAAGATCAAATCTCATATTCGCAAGCCCAGCCCATGGACTGGCTTTTCTTTAGAAACAAGAAAAGAAGAAAAACTGTTGATATTTTTAAAAGAGAGCAATTAATTTTGGTGGAGAGGGGGTTTTGTTCCCGTGCAGCGATAGTCCATCAAGGAATTTACACCGCGAATCGGAACACCGCAGAAAAAGAAAAAAAAAAAAAAAGAGGAGAGAAAATAAAGGGACCGTCACAGCTAAACTGAGCCTTTACTTAAGACTTGGGACTTCACAAATCGGCCTCTCGCTGTGCATCACCACCGACCCTCCTCCTCTCGTCCTCTGTGAATCTTCTTCACTCTTTCTTCAAGCGCGTCCAATTCCCTAGGTCAACCGGGTATCTATCCATCCCTCTCCTTCCTGCGATCTCATTTACTTCAATTCTTTAAATTTAGGTTTAATTTTTTCTTTTTTTCAAACTAGGGATATGCTTCAGTTTAGGGTTTTTTTTTCTTTTCTCAATTTGAAATTATTTCAGTTTATGTGTTGCTTTCTGCTTGAATTTCAGGGCTTTCTTGCCTTTGACTTTCTATATTGTACATCTATATCTGTGGGTAGTATGTGTTTACTGTATTTTCATACGATTTTGCTCAAATGTTGATGTATTGCTGGATTTTTAGTATTTTCAAACATTCATCTCCTTGGTTTTGTTTGAATTTCTTGTTGCTGTTTATTCATGGGTGTTCGAGTCTAAGTTTCTTTTATTGGTTTGAATTTTGTTTTTATTATATGAGGTACTTTAAACAAAGTTGAACCTTAAAATCAGATTGCCATTTCTGGTTAGCCAATTAAATTATATTGTAGAGTATAAAATGGTAAGCAAAATTCAGTTTTTGATGCTGATAAAGATATATCATACATACATACATGGTTTAAATATGCTTTCTCATTTATATTTGTACTGTTAACTCTGTATTTTCATTAGTTTTGATGTGAAATAGTGACAGAGAAAAATGAACAGATGAAGAAGAATTTAGTTATAGACTAGCTATGTAGATCTCACTTGCATGAACAGAATTTCATGGGTTCTCCTAACTGGGGTCAGCTAGATGAATTTTGGGGTGAAGCTGATTAAATGTTCTCTGAAAGTACCAAATCAGTTACTTCGTTGGAGATGGCTCATAATGTTGGTAAATGCTTTTGGGAGGGAGTAAAATTTGTTATTTGTCCATTTTTGTCTATATTAGAGACTTGGGAATCATTTTGGAAGTTAGTGCAGTAGAAGGTTTAAGTAACATCTTCCTTTGCAGTTTTATATTATAAGAATATTCGCAGGTCAAATCTCAGTTTTTAGGAGGCTTGCAACTGCTTGGGATCCAAAGTGATGCCTCTTTTTATCTTTGTATTTAGATGCTGAGGCAATTTTATTATTTGATTTTAATATTTTGGTCTGTTCTTTTTCTGCAGGACTTGGATAGTTCAAAGCATTGACAATGTCTTCATCATATCTCCCAGCAACTACTGATTCGATTGCTCAGGC